TTGAGGCCCCCACAAAACCCCAACGCGTTAAAAAATTTGGAAAAAAAAAAAAAAAAAAAAAAAAAAAAAAGTTTTTCACCACTTGAGCTCCCCACAGCAGCTCATCCAGCACAAGGGAGAAGGCAGGCTCTCGTGCATGCATGACAGGCAGGGAAAAGCGAGCCTGCCACAGCGTCAATTCAGTTTTGTTTAAAATCTCGTCGAGTTCCTCCTGTTTCTTCACATTCAGGCCAGAGCCCCTCAACAGAAGAAGATGCACAGTACCCTTTTATCACAGGCACTGCGAGAGGGACTTAGCTGCACTGTTACTTTGCAAGCAGGTCTGAGCCAGCTGGTGAGTAAGGTGGCAACAGGCACTGTAGGCAAAAGGTGTGACAGCAACTCAGGCGTGCAAACCGAGCCTCCCCGTGTGCTAACAGCAGAGCCACCGCAGCAGGATGCCAAATAACACACCAGGGTCTGCAACATAACCCCTGCCCTCTCAGTAGCTCAGCGCCAGTACCATCCACTGCCATGCTCCTGGATGGGGAGGTGGTAGGATACAGGACTAGCTCTCCCGGTAAACCCCAGGGAGATGAGCTAAAGCAAAATCTCCTCCAAGAAGACACACCTGCCCAGACCGAGGGCTTGTCTCAACCCGGGAATTTTAGAGGCTGCCACCGGGCAGGCAGAGGTGTGAGCCTCTCTCTCCTCTCATCCTTATTCCCCCATCTTACTACAGAAAGTGAAACTACTTCTCCTCGGCTGGCTGAATGACACCACCAAACAGTATCTGCTGGCAACTCGAAAGCTTTGCTGTCCACATAGGCTTTTCCCCCAAGAATGATGGAAACTGCCTCCTCTTCACGTAACACGTATCCCTCCAAAAGATCACGGCTCTGCTCCCTTATGCTAACACATTTTTGTCATACCTTTAATTTTTGCACAGTGGCCTGGTTCAGCTTGACACCTCCTCCCCCTAAAAGTGAATTGACTTGCTAATCTCGTTTGGCATGTTCTACCTCCTCCTCCGGGCCTTGAATCAGATAACTGGTTGTGTAATTAATCTGCAAACCCCATAATCATTCCCACCCAAGGTACCTCCCCTCTGAGGCTGCAGAGGTTAGGGAAAGTGCAACCCTACATCCTCGTCCTCCCTCCCATCTGCAGGTCCCCGCCTCCCTCTGCGTCAGACCTTGCAGACATACAGCCATGGTTCGGGTGGCTGGTCCCTCAGACAACCTGCCCTGAAAAGTGGCTCATCCAACAGAGAATATAAACTCACTCTGTGGCCACCAAGCTGCTATGTAGGATGAATCCGAAGCAGCAGGGACTAGAGGTGGGACTGCCCTGGCTAGCTAGTTAGGTTGGCTGAACTCTAAATTTCAAACCAGCAACTGCCCATCAGTAATTTCGTGTTGGATTGAAATGAGCTGTGGAAAGCTCCAGTGAGATAAGAAAGGTAAGAGGAAAAAGAGGTGGGCACAAGCAGCCCAGAGTAGGGGTGAATTCTTCTTCCAGCAGTAATAGATCTGTTATGGGGTGATCCCAAACCCTTTTTCCCCTCTCTCACAGTTATCCCAAACACCAAAACTATGATTTAACTGACCACACTTTAGGTGACGTGACAGAATTATCTACTGGGAAAAAATGAGAGGCCAGCAAAGAAGAAAAATCTGACATAATAAACGTCTTTAAACAGTTCCCTTGAAATATAATGGGACAAGGCACTTGTCATCACAGAAAAGTAATTGCTTAGCAGGTTACTGTTTAACAGCGTGTGGCGATGTACTAAATAGCGTTAGTGGAAGTGGAAGAAGACTTCACACGTCTTACAAAAAGGTGGTTTCCATGCTAAGTGGTCACACAAGGCTGCACATCTGTGCACCTGCTGCACAGACCATATTCACACCACCTCCCAACAGCGTATCCTGGCCCTAAATCCCGAGTCACAAGGCCCGACCAAAGATGACTGGACTATGAGCAGCATTTAGAGAACTGCACCCTAACTCTATTTCATAGGGGCTGATTTCATCTCCTGCAGGCAGAGAGACCCAAGTTCTCATTTACTCGTCAACAGCTTACCTCTCTCCCCATATATCCATAAGCTCCTCTGACAATCATATGCTTTTAATAAACAAATAAAGCCTCCTCCACAAAAGCAAAGAAACTTGTGGCAATAAAACCTGTGGTGACAGGTTATAAAGATCACATTCTGGTATAGATTAAACCAGATTTTTAAAACCAAGCTATTCCTCAGAAATGACATGAACAGGGTACAACACATAACTGGTAGTTTACCCATACAACCTTTGTATTTCCGTGTCGCTAACGAAGCCCAAGGACGGACCCCAATCACCTGAACTGATCCCAACGCTCTTTCGTTTTCAGCAGCTACTTTACCTGAAACAATGCCAACAAATAACTTTGGCTTCCCTCCCTGCTGCCCTGCAGCTACGCGTACAGCCGCACTCCGGCAACTTACTCTGAAGCCATATTTACCTTCACCAACTTTGCATCGTCTCTCCGGGGCTGCCCTGGCTGAAACGCAGCTCCCTCCCTCTTTCAGGGAAATAAAGAGTCATTTGTCACCGGCCTTTACCACCCCAGGTACGGCACACAGCCTGTCCTGGAGGGCTGACAGGAACTCTGTGTCCTCATGGGGGTGTCCCTCAAGGGCTCGGACGGGCCTTTTAGTCACAGGCAGCTCAACCGGCACCCGGTGCCCCGCAGCGCTGCCCCTCAGCCGCAGACCGCCAAACCCACCGGCTGCGGACCTTACAGGGCCGTGTAACCTGCCATTTCACACACACAGCACACAATTACTCCCCTCCGCTACCGACAAAACCCAGGGGGGTCCCCCACAAAACAACTCCTCACCGGGACCGGGGCCTGACCCCGCCGGCCGGGGCGGAGGAAGGGGGGGAG